CGTATCAATTCCAGCCTGAGTCCTCATCCATTAGAACTGCATGCAAAGTGGATTTCATTTTGCAGCGCAGAAAACAGTGTCTTCTCGACATGTCGACAACACGAATCAAACTCTTCCAGGCCTCAGCTACAATTACCGTGCTTGAGGGTCAATGAAGGACCATAGGTGGGGCCATTATGCAAATTTGTAACAAACCTACGTAGTTTCATGCAAGAAGCAAGAATGGAATAACTGACAACTCGCTTCAGCCAGTTCACAATCGGTTCTTCCTTTTGGGAGACAATAACCCCTTTTATCGTGCATTTTGATCTTTGAAACTTTCCAGACCTTTTACATTCGCAAACAGCTATATTACACACTACATTAAAGGTACTTTCCAAAAAAGCATAATAGGTGCAATTTAAATCAGCAATATGCCAGAAACTCTTTTGATTGAGCTTAAATTGTACTGAACCTGTAAGATTTCCTCTTTTTGTTCACGAAAAAAAAAAAAAAATCATATGAAGTAAATATTGACAAATAATGAAGAATTGTAACTTAATGGAATTGTAAACAGCTTGAAATGGAGAGCACCACAGACAGAGGTGACTTCAGACCAATCGTAAGTTAATTTGTATGTTTAGCTGGGAAACAGAGCCGAGCTTCGTTCTCCGGCTGTTCTCGTCCTTGTGAGACGCCAGTATTCTTCACTCGCTCTAATTGTTTCCATTACATTTCAATTTGTTGGACTCCGAAAGAAGGGCACTGGCTAAATTAGAGGGCTTTTGTTATGCTATGCATTGGAAGCGACAGCATTTTGGAGTGGTAATCAGATCAAATCAGGCAAACTTGTGCTGCAAGCCTTATCTGCTTCTCTTGTTAGGACATCTTAATTTCTCAGAGGCTCTAGGATGTAGTCGGCTTGCCATTGCGAGCTCAGAGGTCGGATCAATCAGACAGGTTGGGCGACATTAAAAGCAGGGCTGGATGTGTGTGTCTATGAGAGTGTTTCAAACAGGCAATGCTGCCCCACTGGAACACCAGTGTGTTTGATTTGTGTGAATCGAAATCGAATCGAATTGTGAAATTTGTGTCAATATCCAGCCCTATTACAGTGTATGTATTTTTTATTACTCAAATCGAGCCGTTCGACCGTGTGACGTCACTAGATCGGACGCCCCTACCACGATTGTTGATTGACAGCAGCGTTTCAACACAGACCCGCCCTGAGCGAGCTGTCATCATAGTCCGCCATTGTTGATACGCTGGAGCAGAATGGCGTCTAAGCGATTGTGGTGTTCTGTTCTTGGGTGTAATAACAAACACAGCAGTCATTTTGATGTTCCTAAATCCAAACCTCTGAAGACGCAGTGGCTGAGTTTTGCTTTCGAAGGGGATATTCCCCACGAGCAACGTCAATGCTTTCATGTTTGCGAGAATCATTTCACACCAGACTGACGTCAACTCCCCTCTTCGATTGACTGGCTAGAGGAGGAGCTGTCAATTTAGAACTAGTGGACCAATGGTGATGCTTAAGCCCGCCCTAATTTACCTGAAACTCGAACTGCAACATTTGGAAAAGCAAGCGCAGAATGTGGAAAGAAGAGTGAAGAGAAAAACAGCACAAGAGTACAAAAGAGTAAAATATGAGCAGAAATTGAAGAGAGCACAAAGTGCAGAGTAATAAAACCAAGAAAACATGAACATAAGTTTAACTTTTGAGCAATATAATTTTTAATGTGTTTAAAGTTTTTATTTATGCTTGTTATTTTTTTATTCACGCTTATATTTTGATCCGTGACCATGTTGTAAGCTATTCTGATCATTTTGCTTTACTTTTTTACAGTTTGTGCAATATATTTTTACATGTGTTTTTAAATTTTTGATTCACGATTTTTTTTTTTTTTATCCGTGACCACAATACTTTTGACAGGATATTGATCCCATAGGTTTGCTGTTGTTTTTTGACAGAGCACAGAGCAGGGGACCATCTACAACTTCCTTGTCAAAAATATATTGGCTCATGCATTGCATAGATATGAGTCACACACTCTCTCCAAGTCTCCATGCGCTCTTCTTCTTCCTTCACACAAAATCCAAGTCATCCGAGTGCCCTCAAAGTGCAGTCTCATCTGTACCCCAACGCAAAATGAAATCGATAGCAGTGTCGGATGAAAAGCCCCGGATAAATACTGCATGCTGGGCAATGTCGTATGAAAAAAGCAAAAGTTAAAGAGCGGCAGTCTTTATGCCATTCTAAACACTGATCCTGAGTCAGTGAAGTGGACACCTTTGTGCATGGAGAGTGCATCAGCCTGCTGGAGCGGAGCCGCAGAGGGTCATCTGGGGCAATCGCGTCCAGACAGCCCGATGCTGCTGGTCTGGTAAAAAGCCTTGTATTCTGAGTAGCCTTGTTTAGCAATGCATGCCGATTCTCCATGGAGGCTGTGTGCTCAGCACAAACAGTCACCCCTGCAGTACACGGGGCACATACACCTTTTTTCTTTTTGCTTTTACTGTGACTGTCAAGATAAACAGGAATGCGGACAGGAAAGTCATAAAATATTAGAGAAAAAGACCCATGCAAGACCCTTGTAAGTTTTCAATGAAAACATTTTTTTCTTAACTTTAAGCACAAATAATATATAATGTTATTAAATAAACCTCAAGAGTATATTGTATTCATAACTCAATATCTTAAATGTTTTAACCGACCCGTTTGTTCAAATTTCCTGATTCATGTACATGTAATTATTGGGTTAGTTCACACAAAAATTTTAATTCTGTCATCAATTAACCACCCCCATGTCGTTCCAGAACCGTAAGACTTTCATTCATCTTCTGAACACAAATGAAGATTTTGATGAATTTTGAGAGCATTCTGTCCCTCCATAGACAGCTACGCAGACAGCACCAGTTTGCTTCAAAAAGTTAATAAAGAGATTGCAAAACTAATCTAATCCATATGAATTAAGCGGTTTAGTCCAGATTTTCTGAAGAGGTTCGCTTTATATGATGAACAGATTGAATTTAGGCTTTTATTCACATATAAACATTAATCAGCAAACATAAACAGAAGCTCAACCCAAACTGCTTGACGCGCAACAAAAGAGACGACACGAGAATGAGCCTCATTGGTTCTTGCATGTCAAGCGAACATGCTTGAGCTTCCGTTTACCACAACTGATGTGTGAGTTGATGAATGTTTATATGTGAATAAATGTCTAAATTCAATCTGTTTATCATATAAAGCGATCGAGTCTCTTCAGAAAATTTTGACTAATACACTCAATTCATATGGATTAGTTTTACAATCTCTTTAAGAACTTTTTGAAGCATCAAAGAGGTAGTTGCACAGACCGTCAATGGAAGGACAGAAATCTCTCTAATTTCATCAAAAAGATCTTCATTTGTGTTCCAAAGATGAACGAAAGTCTTACGGGTTTGGAACGAGTAATTAATGACATAATTTTCATTTTTGGGTGAATTAAACCTTTAAGGTTTCAGTTTTACAATGGATATTAAGATTTTGCAGTGTAAACAAATAGTTGAATCATTTAAGGACCGACCGAGCTATTATTTTTGTGTAACATTCCTTTTCAAACTATTATGAGCCAAAGCGAATTGGTTTTAAAGCAAAACACCAAAAATATGACATTGGGAACCTCAAGTGGTCATGATGATTTTGAAGAATCGCAAATATTCTGTTTCACACAGAGACAAATGGAATGAACCAAACTGGTTTCTAGTTACTTCAGATGACACAGAATTTAAAATTTAAAATTCCAATTATTATATCTAGCTAAACCCACCAATGGGTCAGACTCAGAGTAGTGAACAGATATAACAAACGGCTGAAATAAAGGGTTCAAACTGATAGTTTGATAAACTGTGGCTCTCTGATCAGTCTGATAGATGTGCTTTGCCTTGTGCTATTGCCAAGAAAAGAAAAGAATCCCAAAATCTCTCTCTATATATATATATTTATCCATAATGAGAAGACCTTCATTAATATGCATATCCACAGAAACAGCACAGAACAAAGGAATGCTTTAGATCAACTCACAGAAGAAACCCTAATTAAGAAAAATGATTGAAGAATTGCCCATAATTATACTTTTAATTATGCACACTCACAAAAAAGACAAAAAACATGACCGCAAGTATAAAACGCATCCCAGTTTCCAAGTGTATGACCATTTATAAATATCTGCCAAGATAAATTTGAATACGCCCTATTTATCTGATCCACGGCTTGTCAGTCTAGATTTGGAGCTGGTTCTAGATACAGTATCTTTAAATCTAATTCCCCAGAGAAAAAGATAGAAACACGTCTTGCTTCCAAATTACAAGCAGGGCAAGTGCGTGATGAATGATGAATGAGATATTTAGCACGATATGGCGCAAACAAACTGGCACTATCCGGAGGGAATAGATTGAAATGTGGGGTAAAATGAGGTAAGTTGTCAGTTACACCAAAGTTCCTTTAAGGCAAGTCATTTCACTTGGCGGCCATCTTTGAAACGCCCCATTGGGCAGCTGTTTCAGTCATGCAAGTACAGCTCCTATCTCTCTGAATGGGGAAACATCAAATTCTCCAAAGCTGTTCACCAAGCTTATGATTAAATTTCATATTTGAAATCATCAATTAAATCGGACGACAACGGTCTCATAAATTTACTTCCTTAACGCTCAAATCATGACAAAAAACTGCACAGCCAGCCAAAAACATTCAATGCACATTTGCTGTGTTGCAACCGGAGCTTCTAACGGCAGCTGTAGTGACGCAATGAATTTACCAATTGGCGATTGGCTCTTTTATTTAGAAGGCGGGACTTATTCCGCCATATTGCACAATGCATTTTCTCCAATTCATAGCAATATAAGTGCACCGTCTTTGTATAAAGTCTTTGGTTACACTTAGAGCAGGACTGTACAGTAGTTTGGTTCATGATGTTGAATGTAAGTGAGCTAATTGCACATTCTCTTTTATGTTATTCATCAATTTATGTTACACTCACTTGAATCCATTTGTCTGGAATGGCCATGGACAGGCGATAGTCAAAACCGAGACCTCCTTCTTTGACTGGACGGCAAATGGTGGGCATACCGGACACATCCTTAAAAAAACAATGCATTTCTTAGAAACACAACAATTATGGAGAGGTTAGAAATGTTGTTAATGGAATAACTCAGCCAAAAATAAAGTGTGGACTGGGTATGTGGCTCAAAATGGCAAAAGTAGCTTAAAAGTGATTTTAAAAGTGATTCACACGACTTGTGCGCTCCTCTTTAGAAGCCATATGACATTTAAAATATGCACATGGTATTTTTTTTAAACAAAAAATGAATGTATTCAAAGTAAGTATTTCAAAAAATATTTTTAATATAATGAAAATTAAACTTTAATGATGACTAAAAGTTAATTTATTTATATACATGGAGTGGAACTTAAAAACATCCGTAAAACATTTTATACAAATAATAATGTATTGTAAAATATGATTAATATAATAAAAAGAACTAATATAATGATGAAAGCAAATTTATTTATATACATGGAATGGAACTTAAAAACATTGTATGCGTTAAAAATGAATAATGCATTTGAAAAAGAAATATGTCTAATACAATAAAATACAAATTTAATGATGACTCCAGTCATATCTGGCTTAATAAAAGTAAATATTTATATGCATGGAGTGGAACTTAAAAATATCCTTAAATCATTTTATACATTAAAAATGATTAATGTATTTGAAAAATATATTTTGAAATGTAAAATATAATGATGACTCCAGTCATATCTGGCATAATAAAAGTTAATTTATTTATATACATGGAGTGGGTCGCCTCACGGGGGCGTACATGTTGGGATCACATGACCAGACAAATGTGTTATTGCTGACAAAATCAAAAAACTCATCAATTTTTGCTAGTAATTTCGTTGACTAGATTAGCAGTGGTCTCCAGCCATGCTAATCTTTTCTGCAGGGTATCACATAATATGCAGTGCAGTGCAAAATGGAATTAAACGCTGAATACAAAAAGTAGCTTTCAGCACTGTGGTCCTAGTTTTAGTTATATTTGTAGTCTGTTTTTATGCTATTTAATTGTTTCCTGCAATGTAAGCAAACTTTAGTATTCACAGTCCAGCTCTATCAATGGAGCTCATAAAAGAGAATTAGATGATATCTCTGGTGGGCACTGTCCACTAATTACAAAACACAGAACAAAGTAAGTAAAAAGTAAGTGGTCTCATTAATCATGGCTTTAGACAGAGCCACTGAGTGCTAATTTAATGCACTGTGTCCCGTTGGCTCTGAAGGTTAATTCTGTCTTTGTGGAGTTGGGATACAGTGTCGCTGTTGACAAGATTAAGGTTACCGAGCCATGACTAAAGGTTTTGTGGTCATTTCGGATGATGATTCAGCCGCATATTTAGAACAGAGTAACCAGTACAGCAAGAGAGACACCTTTCTAATACGGTAATTTAAATAGTTATTCACTTCAGATCTCATTTATGCTTTTGCATATTTAAACTAGCACATTGTGAAAGAGTTGTTGACAGTGTTTTGATGTTCCAAAATTTAATACGTGTATTTCATAATTATTTATGGTATGGCCACTTTTCACTACTACTTTTTATTAGTATATTGTCACAGTCGGGTGGAAACTTTGTATCTCCATATTTTGTCATTTTATTATCATTTCTTTCTTTTTATAAATCATTACTATTGGTCACCATTTATGTCTGTCTGGGGATTTGCAAATATTTAACCAATGAAAAGTATTAAAAAGAGCTTGTGACTGAACCTTGTAATTCCATTGGATCCTCAAACTGTCAATCAAACATCATAACTTCACTCACCTCTATTGTGAATGAAGTGTCGCACGCAATTTGGATTCTCTCTGCTTGTTTGCAAGGCTAGGGTAAATAAAGAACTGTTTCTTTGAATAAGTACAGCGTGTTCTTTACTCAAGAAACACCTTATATAAAGGTGAATGTCTTAAGTATTTGAGTGTCTTAGTCTAGCATTTGTTGTCGAGTCATAACCAGCAGTGTCATAAATAGCCTGTGCATAGCACTTTATCTTTAATAACATTTTGACCAAATGACAGAAAAAAAAAATGAGCGCCGCCACGTAGCTGGAGTAAACTTTAGAACTGATAAAATGTAATGCACTTACGAAACACTTCGAAAAATTTGCTGGTCGAAACCTCGTAACTCCATTTGAGCTTGATTTTGGTAAACTGTTAATAATATATTGATACATGCAAGTTTCTGCCCATATATAAAGCCACAATATTAACTTTGACATCACAGTGTTTAGGTATTTTAATACATTTTTTTAAATACAAATAAATAATTTATATACACATGGACTACTATTCCAAAGTTTGGGGTCAATAAGTTTTTTTTTTTTAAAGAAATTAATACTTTTATTTAGCAAGGATTCAATTGATCAAAAAGACAATAATATTATTACAAAATATTTCAAATAAATGCTGTTCTTTTGAAATGTTCAATCCATCAAAGACGGTTATTTCACAAATAAATGGTCATTTAAAATTGTAATAATATTTATTTATTTCTACAAAGCTATCGCAGACCTAAGAATTTGAAATAAAGCTCACAAGTTGTATGGGGATTGTCTAGGTCTAGGAGACCTGTTTGAAAACAGTCATATTTTTGCAGCTTTAAGTATAAGCCATGGCTTTTGGGAACTTACTGTAGTATTACTGTCATTTCAAAGCATCAGAATAAGAACAGGAGCAATTCAGTTAAAGAACTGCTGACATTTCATAAATACTCTTCATGCTCAGCTTCTATGTTCAGTGCATTTCAGAAGAAAACATATGGCTTACCTCTGCAATAGTGATGCAGTCTTTATTGAGAGTGTGCAAAATATGGTTTGCCAACATGAGGTACACAAGAGAGTCCTCATCTACTTGAAGTCCAAAGTATTCAGCATAATCCCCAGAAAATCCTGTTCCTGTGCATCAAGGAACATGAAGTTGAAATCAGAGATACCGTAATTGACAGTTCAATTTTTAATAATAATTACCAAGCAAATACACAAAACTTATTTTAAAAAGAGCTATGACGAAACCATCTTGCTACGACACTGTTTTTTAAGTGAGTCTAATGTCATCTTTCAATAAAAGCAAGTAGGATTTAGTCAAAGCGATTGCAAACCTACCCATATTCATTAGCAGTGGTACAACATTTAAAAGAAAAGAGAAAAATGTCAGGGTAACCTTTGCCACTCAATTTGTGCAATTATTTAATTGCTTGAAAGAACTTGTATCACATGCTTTTCCTTCTTAATTCCGTTCATTTATGAGAGTTTACGTAACACGCTCGCTGTGTATTGAAAATGCCCTTGGAACGATCGCTATTCCAAGAAAAGGCTTTTCAACCCGTTCTACAATAAGAGCCTGTGACATTTACAGGGGGAGAAGAAGGTTATTGTGTATGGTAATCACAAGTAAAGTACATCAAGTGCTTAATTTTCCATGGACGTACCGATCCCATGATGATGGTAGAGCATAGATGTGACTCCATCGAACCGGAATCCATCAAATCTGTACTCCTCCGTCCACCAGCGCAGGTTTGACAGGAGGAAACGCAAGACCTCCCAGCTACACAAACACAAACACTTATTATGCAATTCTGACATGAATACTACAAACTGTGCGCACACACACACACACACACACACATTCATCTTAATTTTCTTTATACACCTGGATGTTATTTATTCCTGTGATGGCAAAGGTGAATTTTCAGTATCATTACTCCAGTCTTCAGTCACATGATCCTTCAGAAATCATTCTAATATGCTGATTTGCTTATCTGAGGCTGTTCTCGTCCTCAAACTGGGAATTATGCATTTCTAATGGCTAAATGAATCTGCAGCGGTCAATTACGAGCTCTACGTGGTGCAAGTAGGGGCTCTTCGAGAATTCCTAGCTTACAAGCTGTAATTACGAGCTCTACGAGGACGTGAACGCTTTTTACAAGTTGAAATCTCGTAATTACGACATGCTTAAAAAACTGTCGAACCCATGAAGAGGTACAGGACTGTGCAGCTTTGGGTGTGTTGATGGAGTCAATCTACTTGTCCAAGAAAAAAAACTTGATTTTCTCAGTGTTTTGTTAAAAATGTTGCTTTATTTTAAATTAAACTTACCGACATTCAAGTGAAGTCTTTTGAAAAAAAGAATGCATGAAGATAGAATGTTTTGTTTTTTAAGCTTTTTTTTATATATTATATGTTCAGATATTCATATAACAAAATATTCTGGAGGCTACGAAAGTTTTGTGAAATTTATCAAAATCCAGGCGGTGGCTGGCAACTTTAACAATAACAACAACAAAAAAAGCGCTGGATGGTAAAGAGTTAATGCACATATTTTAATTTGAACTACTGATATATTGAGCATATTTGCTCATGGCTTGAGCATTTTAAAGCAGGGTTTTTCAACATTACTGCATGGGTCCACCAACTATTGTTTGATGTAACAATTATGCGTTTAACCAAAGTACAATGTTAAATTAACCTCAGCAAAAGCTTAAAGTTCAGGTAAATGTAGTTTATGACAGAAAAGCCATTACAATAATGGTAACACTTTATTTTAGTGTCATTGTTACATGTTATATGCAGTTACTATATTAATAACTATAAATTATGCATAATTACATGCAACTAACCCTAAACCAAACCCTAATCCTAACCCTATTTAGAAAGTACATGTAGTTACTTAATATTACTCTGTTACAATGTAATTATACATTTAAATACTAAGACACCCTAAAATAAAGTGTAACCAACATAATCCTAATTCATGTTCAATGTAACATCATAAAGAACTATTTGTAAATACATTAATATGCTAATAAATGCATGTTATCATACAGGCTTAAAATATATTACTCAAATTTATACAATATGTAACAGAGGGTCCCTGTCCTGTCTCTCTGTTTTAAATTGTTACTCCTGAAATATTAAAAACTTTTTTAATAAGACCAGCATTCAGTTTATCGTAATGAATGGAGCAGTTTCTGTTATACAGTGATTATGTGTACACAACTTTCTGGAAGACCTGAGTTGTGGCTCCAGGTTCTCAGGCACCAGGCAATATAATTATCCCAGCTGACATCATCACTTTCTGGGATGTGTTGCTTCCCAGATGGCGAGAACTCTGCACTGCCTGGAAGTGCGATATTATTGCGTTGACAGAGTTAGGATTTCACATGATACAGAGTGAAACAAACCTCCTCATCGATCACAACTACACTCATGATACAGCAGCACACAGACTATTTGGCTCTAGAATGTAAAAAAAAACCTGTGTTTTTGCTCTTTCTAGTAGGAAAAGGGTTCTCAATTTCAACAGATTATTAAAACATTATGTGAAAGGTGAAATCAATGTGATGATCCACAAAAATTGGTATCATTGAGTGAGTGACTATAACTGCTGGAAATGTCTGTTTGCATTAAAGGGATAGTTCAAAGATATTTCACCAAGTACAACACTGAGTTAGTCAGTTGTTCACTTGAATCATTACAAATTGAGCCTGTTTAAAAGAGACGGTTCTTGGTTTGAACTTGGAGAATTGTTCACTCGAAAACCACTGATTCACTCTGATTCATGAACAAAAGACTTACGTTCACAAATCAGATATTGCAAATCAAGACCAAATACCAATCCAAGTTGAACATAACAGCAGAGATGATACGTGACTAAATATTAGAATAGTGTGGTTAGTTAAGGTGTGGTCACAGTTAACACTCACTCTTAAAAATGAAAAGGTGCCAAAAGTGGGTTTTCGCAGATTTGCCATAGAAGAACCATTTTGGGTTTCCTAAAGAACCTTTAAACAGTTCTTAAAAGAACCTCTCTTTTTTAGTGTGAAGAACATAAAAAAAAAATCTAAATAAGCTTTTTTCCACTAAAATAACCTTTTGTGAAATGGAAAGGTTCCATGGATGTTGGAAAGGTTCATGGAACCATAGATGCCAATAAAGAAGCTTTATTTTTAAGAGTGCAGTTCGGCAAATTTTTCACAGTCAAAATTTCAATAGGAATACATGCGATTGGCAATTTCGCATGAGGGTAAAGATTTCCCTACACATTTTTCATAACAGGTTCAACTTGACCAACAGAAAGCTGCTTGGTTTGAAAGTGACTTCTGTGTGAGCTGTGCTTCATTCATTGCTACTCTAACTGACAACTGACAAATTTTGTCCGCAGAAGTTTGGTGAAATTTTTGAACACAAAAGATGATATTTTGAAGAATGTTGGTAACCAGACAGTTGACGGTAGCCATTGACTTCTATATTCTTTTTTTCCCTACTATGGAAGTCAAAGGCTACCGTCAACCGTTTGATTACCAACAATCTTCAAAATAACTTTTGTGTTCATTTTCATTTTTGGGTGAACTATCCCTTTAAGAACCTAGAAAATGTGGTTGTGAACCCCTGCGGTAATTTACGCCTTAATTTACGCAAATGCTTTGAAACACCCTTGGTGAATTTTTGAAAAGCTGCACATACATGTGGGACTCAATCTATGTTCAAAACCTCTATGAATACCAATACGCTCAAGCTATAGTGAATCCTCATCGGGTATCCCAATCAGCTTCCTGTGGCATGCGGCTATGAGCATAAATTATCCGTCAGGATGAGAAATTGGAATTAACTCATCTCTAAAGTATGTCTGTATCCTGGTGTTTGGATGATATGTGTAGGCACTTGTGACCAGCCCCCTCCAGATGAGCATCCTCAACAACTTGGAGTAATGGCCACGTTGCCATAGAAACTTTGTTAAAATGCGAGCGCAGGGGTCCTCTGGCACCGTGAGAAGCGCACACAGAACAAGGTAAAGCACCTCAACCGTGTGAAGCCAAATTAAAGAGCGCGAAAGAACACCATCATCATGCCTGAGAGTTTTATAAATGCCAGGTGCTCCGATTCGTGGTACAGCATCCTTAATGTTATTGTCAGAAGAAGGACAATGTGACACTTACGATGCTGCCGGTTCTGGCCGGAACGATAGCTAGCATTAATCCTACATCTTAAACTGTATTCAACTGCACGAACGCTCTTCAACCTCCATTCTTCTCTTCTAAACTTCTACAACAATGCCAAAACGCCCAGGTAGCAGAAAATGAGAAAAATATGGAAATGAACCATCTTTTGACACTCACACTGGAACTTGAAGCTATTCAGAATAACTTATGAACCTTGTCGCACATGCAAGTCTGTAGAACTGTGAAGATGTCTGATAACTAGAGATGCACCGGTATGAAATTTCTCAGCCGACACCGATAGCCGATTATTCATAGTTTGTTTTTTCTTATTGATAAAAAATCTCTCCCAAATAATGCTGCAAACTATACAGATAACCCCTTTCATTTGGTACACTATAATATTAGAGGTTAAAATTAACAACAGAGCTATTATATTCAACTGCTATTTATTTCCAGATATAATATTTACACTCAAATAAAAGCTGAAATGTTTGTATACAACTCAGTTACACATATAAGGTAGTTTTCATAAGCACTTGTCTTGATGGCAAGATTTATTCAAACATACATATAATTAACAGTGAATAAGATCCTCTCTAGGTTTTTTTTTAAAGCTAACTAACAAACTGATGACTTTCCTCAGGTAAATGCAAAATTAAGTGATATTGTTTACAAGCAAGTTTCAACCTTCACAAGCAAGTTTTATTGACATCTAAGTTTTATTGAGTTTTATTGACGAGTTGCAGGCGGAAATTAGCATTTTTGCTATAACCTGGCACATGACATCTCTTCTTTCTTAGATTAATGGTTTTTGTGCATTGTCCCTGATCAAATAAATAAATAAATTCAAATTTAAATTCAAATCTTTCCACATGATACGGATTTCGGTAAGTCGTACTGTAACTTTCAACTTACCTTCTGATATTCATGCCTGTTTTTCTAGATATAATTTGTATTAAAGTGGAAGAATAGACTCGCGCTCCGCTCTGCTGCTTGAACTGAGGCGCTACAGTGATCTGTCACGTCACATTTAAGAGCTCGCCAAAAACGCCATTTATTGTTTGAATTTCGTGATAAAAATGGACAGAATTTGAAAGATGACACTTTGTTTCTTTTTAGAAGTAACGAAGCACAGAGCTATTAGCGATTATTGGGTGAAAGTCGCGCTATAAATAATGTTTAGGTAAAAACTGCAGATCTGGCAACCCAGGCTTGAACTACGGGTGATTCAAACAGAGTCTGCTTTTATGTAGCTGTTTTTAGCTATTGATGCATTATTTTCACATTAACTTGCCTTAACTAACTCAACACGATATATTTTCTTCACACACACTGTGAGTTGCAGTCGGTCATGTTTTACCGCACCCTTTTGATTGACAGGATAAAATCGGCACTGATCATCAGCTGATTTTAAACATTCTTGATAGTGAAAATAATTGCTTTAATCGGCCGATACTGATTGTTGGCCGATAAATTGGTGCATCTCTATAACGTTAGCTTGCTATAAGGAGCAACAGCCTTCATTTGGAGTCATTCCATGCTTTACCTGATGTATTCAGTGCCGTGCTGATCTAGGCAGCAACATTCATGTATGCTAAATCAAATA